CAGCCCGGGGCTGAGCTTACCCAAACTGATGCGGCACACATCCAGAGCCAAGACGGGGAGCACCCACCTCCCGGCGTCCCTCGGGGTGTCCTCTGCAGCGAGGCGAGTCAGCATGGGGCGCGGGTCCCCGTGGAGCACAGCGGCATCCCGAGCCCTGCTATGCCACTCTGCAAACCAACACACGCTGCGGTCACGGCAGGCCCCGGCCCCTACACCCCCGGTTGCGGAGCTGAAACCAGATGCCGTGCTGGTCCAAGCTGGAGCGTGGCATCCCGGCACGCTGAGCTCGCCGCAGCTTTCCTCTGCCAATGCATTTTCCCACACCGGTGCAATTTCAAGGCGTATCTTTGCAGGTCCCCTCCCTACGCTGGCAGCCACTGCCAGTTTCCTGGCACATTCCCTTCTTCCAGCAAAGAACCAGAAAGTGAAGACAACAACAAACAGCAACAAGTGTTGCCATCGCTTAATGGGACCTACACTTGGGCCTGGGCGAGCAGGGGAGGAAGACACTTGAATTACACACGTACCCAAGTGTTTTGGCTGACGGCCTGAGCAGCAGCCTGGCTAGCTGAGGAGTGGGCTGTTTATTAAGACGATTTAAAAGCCTGGCACCTCCGTGCTCCCCATCCCTCCCGGCACCATGGCTGCCAGGTATTGTCCCGCCTGCTCCCGCTTCCCTCTCACCACCTTTGCCTCTGTTCCCTGTTTCATTTCTCTTTTTGGTGGGGTTTTTAATAGGCCTCATTACCATTTTAGACATGAGGTCATACTTATCCTCAAGCATCCTTACTCAATTACCATTGTCACCGGTTTTAATTAGCTTCCAGCGCACGACCATAAGCAAGTCTCCCATCATTAGCAGCTAGGGAGGAAGCGCAACAGCTCACTCCCTATTTGCTCCTAACAACAGGTTGGAGGAAAAAAATTATCCGTATCATGCTCCTCAGGGCTGCTCCCCAGCCGATCATCCCCTGTGCTCACACCCTGTGCCTGGCCAGTGCTCCATCCTTCCTTGCCACCACTCCCGACACTTTGATCCCCTCTGCTCATATAAGTCCTTTCTTTGGAAAAACTCCCGTCATTACGTAAGCAAAGAAAGAGTAAATTAAAGTGAAGTGTAGTCACCAGGACCTGGTCTGAAACTTGCTGTTCTTCACAGGGGATAATCAAGATTCAAACGCCAGAAAAGCTATGGGCATCATTCTCAGCTTGTGTAAACTGATTTTCAGCTTTAGAGAAGTCACTTACAAGTCCCAGCCCGAAAACATCAGGGTCAGCGGGCCACTCGTCCAAAATTAGCAGAGCCACCACTGAAGCAAGAACTGCAACTCTCCCGCTGGCAGACGCCTCGATGTACTGTGGGTCTGGATGCCGTCCTGCCCGCGCCAGGACTGCCCTCGGCCTGAGATCAGCTCGCTGCGTCCTACAAACACAATACCACACATTAGCCAGACTTACAATTTTACATGCATGATAGAGATTTTTTCAAGAGCACTGGTGCCAGCCAGCTCCATCAAGCCTCCCTCTCTCTCTCCAGCGTGTAGCAAACCGTGGTGGCATCTCCCCCACAGCAGGACCACCCTCCGGAGGTTTCCATGCCCTTCATCGCCCAGGCTGAGCGATCGGACATGGGGTACAGCAGCAGGAGATACCCAGCTGTTGCAGCGAATGCCAGGTATCGCAACAACGGTAGAAGGGCAGCGGAGAGGAGGAGACAGGCTCCAGGTGAACAGCTCAGGGATAACACCGGTAGATGAGAGAGCCCGTGGAGGGGCTGCATGCAGTGCCCAGGGATTGGGGTAGGAGGGGGACACTGAACCTTTGACGCTGAGAAGACCTGCAGGCAAGCCCTGCCCAGCCCCCCAAAGGGCTCGACTCCTCCCACGCCCCCAGGTGTGTTAAAGGACAAGGGGTCTCCCTATAACCCCCTGTAACCTCCTGCCATGTCAGAGGGGCAGCCCACCTGCCAGACAGACCACTACCAAGGCTGGTGTGAGGCCAGCAGGCACAGTCCTCCCCTGGCTCACAAATGGAGATGTTTCCACAAGGAGCATCAGTTCAGCCCCCTGGGAAGCCACCCCTCGGCAGAGGGCAGGAGCCCCTTGGGGTCTCCCCAGCCCCCACCCCACTATTCTGCAAATGGCTCCTGCACAACATTGATAACAAGCCAAGGCCAATTAGTGCTCATTAGTATGCGACAAAGCAAGCACTACTGTGGTTGTCTCGGAAAGGCAACAGGCATTTCCAGCCCAGCTCCTGCCTCTCA